TGCCCTTAATCTTTATGCTTTTTTTAACTGATTGGCGGATTTATGTGTAATTATACATATATTATCTTGTTTTGAAAATCAAACTCTTTGAATTGTTAAGAGCAGAATTGAACCCTGAATGTTTTTTAACAAAAGTTTATAAATATGTACTGTTGTTTTCTAAAAATTTTGATTACTATTTTTCTTTTTGTAACAAAGCAAGCGTTATTCAATAATATTCAAAAACTTTGCTTTTCGTCCTTAAAAAAATGAATTTGAAACTTTAGCGTTTTATATTATTCAGTGAGATCGGCTTGCTATAAAAAATATAAAAAAAAGACTTGCTAATACATTTGTGTTTTTTCCTTTTTTATCTTTGAAAAATGAAATGAAAGCTCCTATTCAAGTCTTTACTTCTTATTTTTTCAACTTGTTTTAAAAGTATTAAATTGTAGACTAAACTATGTTAAAATGATTTCTAGGTAAGCAGATTAATGTAATCCAATTTACAGAAGTGTTTCAGTGGTTACTGCGAAGTATACGAGAATTCTGCGCTCTTAGTATTTGACTGTAGCATTTTCATCGTTTTTTATTTATACTTTTAAAATGTAAAATTTTTCTTTTCTGATAAGACAGTTCTCTGCTTAATGCAATAACAGCTTTTTCTCGGTTATAAATTGAAAATATTTTTATATGCAGTCTCAAAGCTTACGAACGAGTTAATTCGTACTGACAAAAAGTTCTACTTTTAAAGAGAAGTAAGAGTAATGAAACCGTACTGAAGAAAGCATCGTTTTTTGAGATTTCAGAGAATGCCTTTTGCATCATTTCAAATACGAACGTCTTATTACTCAAACCTATTGATGAAATGATATGAAAGAGCTATTTTAGAAATTTTTAAAATAGTGTTTACAGTGTTATAGTGTGTAAAATAGTGTTTAATATCCAAAATTAACTAAACATTCAGGTTTAGTTACTACTCATCTTAAAAAATAATTTTTTTGTTCTTTTTCTAAATTTTTTTGCCAGAAAGTTTAACTGCTAAAAATTTTTTTTACTTTACCAGTCAGTAATTTTTAGGTAACTTTCAAATGCAACTGTAATAAACTTTGATCAATGTAATTTTATAAATTTTTTTTAAAGAATTGAAGCTTTTAAGTTATAGCCTTTTTATAACCGATATCTCCAAGGAATTTTAGTAAAACACTTTGTCGCTTTACAGTGTGCTGTTCACTTTATCCCCTGTTCAACAGTAGTTTTAAATCATTAAGAGTAACCTTTACAAAAAATAGTAAACTAGAAATTTTATTAAGTAACTTTATGCGAACAAGAGGCAGTCTGGTCTGGGTAAGATGTAAATCAACTTTACCAAATTTTTTTTAATTGGTTCACTTTACACCTTTAGATTCTTCTTGTTTAATTCAAATACCTGCATTTTTTAGCCAATCTATTATCTTCCTTCTCTATTTTCATCATTAAAATCTAAGTGAAAACAATAAATGTTTTGACAAAATAGAAATGAAAAAGAACAAAGCTTTCCAAAAAATTCAAAGAACAATAATAATTAATAATTGTACTAAATGCAGAATTTTGGACAGAAAAGTTTCTTCATTTCTCTTTCTATTATTTCTTAATCCAAACGGTAACCTCGAGAAAATGTCATTAAAAATAGATACGTCAAAAAAAAAATTAATTAGTAAATTTCTCACTTTTCTTTTTTAAGAAAATGGTTTTTTTATAAAGTAAGTTTTGTTTACTTGCTATATACGTATGTTTTCACCTACATCAATTCCGATGTAACATTCGATAATAATTAGTAAAAACTGACATTTGTTGATTTGCAGTAGTTGGCGAGAAACATGAAATTAGTAAGAACACTGCAAAAAATTACTGCCTGTGAATTAAGCTGCATTATTCAACTCGGAATCGGTACCATGTTTATGTTCGTTGGCCTGGATACGCACAGCTTCATCCTAGAGTCTGTTTTACATTCAGTTAACTCACGAGATCCAAATCGAATTGATAAATATGCTGGCTACTACGGGTTTGTTGTTACAATATTTATCTAGTAATAGAAGTAAAAAAACAGAAGTTTTTTTGCAACAAGAAAGCAAAATTTTGTCTCAATAGCACTACATCAGTAATGTCGTGCTTTTATATACGATTATGCGTAACATTTGCTTAAGCCTAAGCTTTATTTCGTAAACAATAGCAGATGAGAAAACAAATACGCCAATGTTAACTGTTACACCTGAAACTTCTCACAACTTTCCCTACAGAACACAAAAGAACCTCATGTTTGAACACAGAAAATAGGGGTCTCTTGGAAAAGTGATCCTCTATTTTACAAAACGAAATAGCGAAACTGGTATCATCGGTAACAGCTCGTGCTATGTGGTATGCCGAACTTAGACTACGCTTTATATCCGTCTCAAACTTAACAGTAGAAGTTTTAAATTTCTAGACCAGAAAAACCTATTTTTTAAAACACTATTTGTAAAAAAAAAATTTTTTTGCCGTACTTATTTAAACAAGGACTTTTCTCTGAAAACGATGGAAAAAATATGAGGTGAAGATCAGCCAAGGAAAGCTTCATCACAGAAAACGACTTACAGAAATTTATGATTTAAATGTTCCAAGACTGTTTTTAAATAAAAGCTGCTTAAAAACTAGAAATTCTTTTTTACTCAAGAATGTGGTGTTTTTACACTTTTTTGCATTATTTTATCTTATTTTTGTGTTGGAATTGTTAGCAAATATAACTAGACGAACAGCGTTTAAAAGTCGAAGGCCCAGTATCTATTCGCTGCTTGTGGTCAAACCCCTAATAATTCTTTAAAAAGTGATTTTACACGAAAGTCATAAGCATGTTTAACCAAATGACCCGATTTAAGGTATCAACGAGGTAAGGATTTTAAAACCAGCAATCTTGGGGATTCGCTAACTTTTGTTTTGCGATGGGTGAGTTCCCAGAAGCTTGAAAGCCATATTGTACAGAAGAAAGAAGCTAGAGGTTATCCTCCAAAGAATTCTGCTTCAACACCTTCAGAAGTTAGCACAATGTTTTTGGGAAGAACTTCTAATAAGAAAAAACTGAAAGACCTATAGAAATTAAGTTTTATGATTGATGTCCTTCATAGCTACATATTTCGCACTCTCACTTCTAATTGCACTTTACCACTAGGCTATTAAAAAGCCAAAAAAAAGACGTCAGACAAGTTTAAACTATTAAAAATGAGTCAGTTGTGACATAGAAACCCATAACCAAAAAAAGAAGTAATTCTTAGATAAAGACGGACGATTTTAGACAGCTTTAGCAACAATTCTAAAGAGGTGCCATATTTTCTGAACTACCATTGAACTTACCAATTTAGATTTTTTTCTGCGCAACTGACCATTTTCATTGTCCAATAATCTTGCTACCTTGCCTCTCGTGCGCTTTCTAATAAAACTATTTGCATATCTGTAACTTGCTATCATGCATACTTCGCAAGAGTTTGAAAAGATTGAGATATAAATATATCACGTTTTAAAAGCTTTACAGATGAGTGGCTGAATAAAATTGTGTGAGTATTACTGATTAAAAAAATCTGTGGGAAGCACAAGCAAGATTTAACTAGGTCGGCATACGCAGGTTTTTGCTCTCTATGAACTTTATACCCCAAATTTTCATACCTTCAGACCTCGCAAGCGAAATCTTCCTCACACCCGGAAAACATCTTGAAAGATTTTTCAAGGCTGGGCACCTTCTGCTAGTTCTGGTCTGAAACGACAGAGATGTCTAGACCGTAAAATTGATAATATTCATATTTTAAATACGTAGCCTAATTATTACTACACTTTATCATAACTTAAACTTATGTGTAAAAAATAATGAGTTTTTATTTCGTCTTGTCTCCCCCTATCAATCTGCCCTAAGAAATTCAAGCGGTGAACAATGCTTTAAAGAAGTGAGAACTTAAAAAGCCGTTTCAGCGCTGTGGGCTGCGCAGGATAGCCAACGACCCCTCAATTAGCAGTGTCATAAAAAGGAGGTATGAGAGACTGGATAGAAAAGTAGGCAACAAACCTGATACTTTTGAAACTTGGAATAACGGTTAAAAACGCGAATCCTCTCTCCTTCTAAACCTCTCAAATATTTCAGAGGCTGATTTTTCGTTTAATGCAAACCAAACCGTCATCGTCACTCACAAAACTGGCCAATGGCACCATGACATTTGCGCAACCTTCCCTTGAAAAAATGTTACTTTGCAAACAGCTAATCCATATATAAACGTGATTGTTCTCTATTAACCTACTTTTTTTTCAGTATAAGAAGTTCTAGGCTTCGCTATATCAATCTATAATTCCCTAAGGTTACTCACCCACTGCTAGTGTCATTATAACTTTTACGATTCTATGTATTACTTCACTGCGACTAGCGCGTGGTTTAATAGACAGTACCACTACTGTAAAACCACAGTACTAAAATCTTGGAAAGATCGCATTCACCTAAAAATGAATTTTCTAGAAGCTCTTTCCCAGTTTTTGGAGTATTTTTGGTCATCCCAAAAACACAGACGTGATTACTTCTTTTTAGTTGTATACGCTAGACTTGAAGGTAGATTGTGCAGTTGTTCCGTCATTCGCGACTGTCTGTTCAACCAGAACGTGTACTGAGAAGTCTCTTACCTTAAGCAGTTGGGAAGAAATTGGTTGACTGACTTCGACTGAATTACGAAGGCAAACGATGATTGACGAACTGTTAGACTGCGTTTGGTGTAAAAGTACAAAGAAATGTGACTGAATACGCTATGATGTGGATTCGCGGAAGTCTTCTAGAACAACAAACAAAAATTTTTGACAGTGGAAGATAAAGCGCTTGGAAAAAAGGCTGGATTTAAACTTTTTCCATTTGTGTTTAAAAGACCTATTATTCTTCATCCGGTCTTTTTTCATCTCTGTTGCCATAGTCACACCTGCCCTACAAAAGTGGGACGGAATTTATGGCCATAGACGTACTAGCCGGCTACCCCAATTCTCCTGTAAACAGACGAGGTTGTCATGAAGTGTAAGGCGAAAAAAAGAGTATGTGATTAGCCAACTTTCTTGATTTATGGAACTTTACGAAAAATATGAATGCACATGATTGCGCTCCGAAGCAGCTCTGCTCAAAAGCAGAACTGGCGATATTGAAGACCGGGATTCCGCTACTGCGCGTTAAACCGTCCCGTACAAGTCAATTTTAAAGTATACATAGAAAAATACGTAACCGTTTTGCTGTCTCTATTGCTCACTTCTTCAACTTTCCCATCAAATACCAAATAGCAGGTCAACACGGCGGGGCCTTCAAACTGAAAGATTATTCAAGTTTTGTGATTCCAAAAAGTAGCAAAGAAGTGCGGGGCAGATTAAATACTTTACTGTACGTTACTATATGCAGACCAACAAGTAATCAAGTGCAATGTTGGTTATTTTTGGTGTGGTGCACTGGATTTTGAGAATAAATTCAGAGGATCAAAGAAAGTGTCAGATTTGTGAGTATTTCAGAAACTGGCTGATATATTGTACAATTGATTTCAGCCAAGCATGCTCGTACATAACTTTCGCTTTGACTAATCTCTTCGCTCCGTCGCTAATACGAAGTTATGATCCAAAATGGTCAGTTTTCATTGGCAGCATTTTCAGTACAATTTATTATACCGGTTTTCAGTACATCAGCAGTTATTACTTTTACACTTCGGCAGTTCTACTTGGAATAGGTTCTGCGGGTACGTCTGAAACTCAAACATGTTGTATTAAAAAGCTCTCCTCTTATAGTTACATTTACTTGAAATTAAACGACATAAGCCATTCTTTCTTGATTTTTTTGATTTAGAAATTGGCAGCAATATGCTAAAAGGTCTAAAAAAACTTTGAAATGCAGAAGACATTTTGTTTTTGTGACCGTATGCTTTCATTTCAATAGTTTAGATGGCCTCACATAATCTACATGACAAAGCGCTTTTATTGAAAAATTATCCTTCTTTGTATTTTATAAAGCTGTTTATACCATTCTAAAATTTTTGTTTTTAGAACTTCAGTTATATATTTTCTATCAAATTTTTGACTTAATTACTACCATACACGTTTTAAAAATAAAACGCCATTGTAGCAAGTTTTTAAAAAGCATTCTTTATAAAAAACGTTAAGCTTATCTTGAATTAGTCACTGTCAAATGACTTTTATTTTTATAATTTTGTATAGATGCTTTTAGTCTTAAGAATTTTAGTAGACTGAAAAACTGAAATAACAGTCTTCATTAATTTGATTTTTTAATGAAATATATTCACCGCGAACTAACAAAGTTATCTTATAGTTTTCTATACCGGACACGGATGCTACTTAGCAGAACATTCAGCGGAAAAAAATATGGCAAGAAATGCTTCAATATCTTGGGCCGTTGCGTGTTTGAGGTACTGACATTTTAAATTTTCTTTTTTTGAGTTATCAAGCTCGTCTTCAATTCGCAAATGCTCCTTTCTTTAGTATGTTTGCCGTTTATAAAACTGTAAAGTTTTTATAGCTTTACCACTGGTGGCTTGATACTGATATGGGTTTTCAATAATAATGGTGTCGACGCAGACCAAGATCACCGTGAATTTTCGGACTCAATGATTCGAATAATCTTTGGAGCTTTTTCATTTTTTTGTGTACTATCAAACGTAACATTTTTCTTCTTACGGAAAAAGAATGCAGAAGACAGTGGATCCAACACGACAGAAAATCCTCAAAAACAAAATTTCCGAGACGGACTATGTAACAATCATTTTCTTGAAATTTATAAAGTCAAAAAAAAAAAAGTAATATTTTTTTTGCAAACACAGTGTATACACACCTTAAATTTTGTACTATTTATTCTTTTTCCAAAAAAAGAAGCGAGCATTTAAGACGACCTGAATAGATAATAATGTCGGTATTAACTTTATATTTATATTGCAGTATCAGCATTTAAAACCTTTCGTAAATGCAATGTTTGGTGGTTAAGTTTCTCATGGTTTTACCTTGGTATAACTACAAGTTTCATGCTCGGAGTATATCCAACAACATTAATATTTACCGAATCATTGAGCAAATCGACAGTCCTGATATCGTTTTATTCATTTTCAATCAGTGTTGGCGAACTGTCAAGTTAGCGCTATATTGAGTACTTTTTGTTGCAAGAAATGGATTTTCAAAAGTAATCTTATATAAGCCACAACTTTTCCTTTAATTTAGTAAGCCTTGAAGCACCGTAGCCAGTTCTCCTTGTTTCCTTTGTTTACTGTTTTAGCTTTCAGTCGCTGTTATCATTTCAATAGCATCGAACAAGTACGAAAACTTTGGTCGTGTTCCAACTGCAGTTATTGGATTTGCGATCCATCTCCTTGTATTTACTTTAGTCTTATTGTCAACTCCTCGGTATTCTTCTTTACGCCCAAACAACGATGGTGGATTATTATTCAATCCAAAGTGAATACTGCAATTATTTCGTTCCGTTTCACAATCACTGCCTTTTCAAAAAAAAAACTTTTATTCAGAAAAACACTCAAGCACCAAAAAATCCTCTTACTCTTCCTAGCTTGACTACTAAACAGCTTTCAGTCATAGCTTACTGAGAAATGACGTTTCGTATATCTTTCAAATCTAATTTAGTATTTTTGATAAATTGCAATTTTCTTGGGACATTATTAAATTTGTTGTTTTTTTTAGATTATTTTGGGTAAAAATAGCTAAGATTGACAGATTAATTAATAAATATATGAATAAAACCTGTACAAATCCAGCTCTTTACGGAAAATCTTTAGTCTGTATACATCACTGCTATGCGGTTACTGTATGGGAGTAGCTGACGGTTGTTGGAATACTATCAGATGTTGTATAATACCGCTGTTACTGGCAGACAGTCGAGCTGAAGGATTTTCTATCTCTAAGGCATTCCAGGTCGCGTTCTAGAGATCATATTTGTACAATATGCTCCAAAAAAACTAAATTACAACTAAATTACTAAAAATATGTTTTCAGTCTCTGGCATCTTTTGTGGTATTTTTTCTCTCTCCCATTATCGATATCTACGCCCATGTTGCTATTCTTCTGCTCTTTAACATTCTTGCGACTGCAACATTTATTATTGCTTCAGTTCAAGACGACAGAAAGAAAAGGAGAATATATGGGCCGAAAATTTCGCATGTAAGTGCAAATGCAATTGATCTCTGTGCATTAGAAAACAAGTTAGAATCTTGTTAAAGTTCGCTCACAGCAGCTTCATATGTGTCTTTTTGTAAAATATTAACAAAAAAGGTAGGATTTATATCGAAAACGACATATAGAATGGCATGTTAGTGGTCTTCAACTTGGTCCTGATGAGTAGTCAAAAAAGTCATTAAAATTGTTTTTTGTCTTTTACTTTTATTTTTGTTATTTTGGGCAGTTTGCTAATGGTCTTGGTAATTAACTCTGCACTGAACTGATTTATTGGTTTTATCTAAAATGGTTATATTTGATAATGTGAATGTGGAATGAAGAGTCTTAAACTTTTCAATTCTTTTACTTATATACTGGCCTTCAAATGGCAACAATCAAAAGAATTCTTAATTGTTTTTTGTCTATCAGTTCTCAAGCGACTGAACACTTGTTGTAATATAAAATAAAGGTTATTTTGGAAAATTATCAGTAGTAACTTAGAAACCACATGACATTGTAATAAGTTAAAAGTTCTACAAGTAATAAATAGTGAATTCCTGTAGCAACTTTACATTTCAAAACTCAAGTAAAGTAAAAAAAAAAGCTGCCGTAAGCAGTTGCATTTCTGTAGAACAATGGTAATACTGATAAACATTGATAATATCTTACTGTTATTTTTAACGCTATTAGTAAAAAAATGTTTTCTTTATGGTATACTTGGTTTTATTTTTGTATACATCACAAAGTCACCTCTCTTTGACAAATAAACAATTGATCTACTTGTTTTGTTTCAAAGTACAGTTTTGGAACAGGAACTGCTCTCGAGTGAAACTGTTTTAAGGACAGCAATGATCGAAAGAATTTATTGAGGAAGGCAGGGAAACACCATTTCACGGGAACAAACGGAATTCGAGTCAAAATACAGAAATCATTAATTGACCAAAAAACAGTGGCTTAGTGAGACTGTAATAAAAAAAATTTTTTTTGCTGATACAAAATTAAATTATTGTTAGCTGAAAAAAAAAGGTAGTTAATGAATAGAAAATAATAATAAAAAAAAAAGAAGTTAAAGAAGAAAATAGTAGAAATCTTAACTTCATTTATCAAAATTTTAGGATTTTCACCTTACTTTTCAAAATATTGGTCATTTTGATAAAATTGCGTTTCACAGAAGTGACGAAGAACTGCTATAGTTTAGTTGGTACGTGTAAGGTATGACGATATTAGAGAAGAAAATAGTCTACGTGTATAATTTTTTAGTGAAAAAAAAATGACCATTAAACAATGCTGCCAACATGTATAGAAAAAGCCCGATAACTTTTTAAATCAATCAATCACGTAGAAAAGTTTAAGTTAATAGAAACGCTGTGTTATTACAGTAGACCTGTCTGAGATTAGCTTCGCCACCTGTTTTGTGCAATAGAGGAGTAAAGCTCTTTGAAAAAAAATTATGAACGTAAAAAACTGAGACGGCTTTTTATTACATCGTATTAATGCTCTTACAATTCTTACAGTTTTAATAGATTTCATTTAACTTTTTGAGATTTTCGACTGTTCAGAAGTAATCGAATGAAAATGTCACTTCAAAAAAAAAAAAAAAAAAGGTTAT